AATGCAACTTCTAAAATTTTCATTGCAATTTTATCAGGTACGCTAAAATATCGCAACTTTTTCAAATCCCATTAATTGTATGAAATAACTTGAAATACAATGTAATACTTAATATATTTCCCATAAAAATTACAAAAATAAAATTTAATTTAGGTTGCGCGCATGATAATAAATTATGAAATTGTAAAATCTGTTCATTTTGGAAAAAAAAAAACGAACAGACTTTACAGTTTCATAATTCACTGTTATTAGTATAATTTTAGAAGTGTATTTCTGTTTAATATAAAAACAAATATTTAGAATACCAATAACTTCAAAATTTGCAAAGCATTTGATGGAATACGATTAGAATCAATTATCCGTCTCCAACTATCGTTAATATACAAATGTGTCGTTGTTGCATGTCCACTTTGTAGGATACCAAATGATAATGATTTCTCGTTATTAGACTAAAAAAAAGAAAAAACTATGCATTTGTAATATATCTTCAGTATAATCTTCAATTTCAAATTTTGATTTTTTAAAATACAAAAAAAAAAAAAACAAGAAACATCACTTGTGAATTATTTTTTTGATTTTAGCTTTATAAAAATTTAATGAAATATCATTAAATTTTCAATTATCGACAATTCATTAAAACTAATCAATTCATTAATCGATATTCTCGTTTAATGTAATTTTCTTCCGCAGTAATATCATATTATTAGCCAATAAAAGAAAAACAAAAACATTTCTTTTTGTCAAATTTAACTTCAATCAATTTTATTGATAGCAAAATTAATGTTATTATGGTTCACTTATTGAAAATTTTTTTCCAAAATTTCAATGATTAAGCAAATATGCAAATATAAAAATTTAGTGATAAACAAAGAAGAAAGAAAAATTATCCAACTTGTGGATTATCAGTTGGTTGTGTTAATGGAGAGCTGTCATATTTTGTTAATGTTTGCTCGTAACGTTGCTTGGCGTAATACAAAACCTTAATATTACAATTATTATTCTTTCATAATTTTAACTATAAAATTTTTTTTATCCAACCGTTTATCAAAGAAAGAACTGAAAATAATTAGCATCGTCATATCAAGCTACGCTATTAACATGTAATTTATTATAGTAAACTTCTTAAAGAAATTTTAAGAATTTATGTTTCAGAAATTACTTGAACATCGGGAATTTATGGATCTTTCATCTTTGATTATAATTTATATTTGAAAAATAAAAAAAAGAAAAAGATTATCTATAACTAATCTCATATAATACTTTTAAATCTTTTTTTTCCTCATTAGTTGGATTATCTTTCATTAAAATAGAACTGATGTATAATTCAGCATTTTTAAGCCATGTCATATCGCCATGCCTATCGAGAATAGCCGGACAGACTTCAGAATCGCAAGCGGCTATCACACGTGGATCCATTTTATAATTTAACATTGTTGTTGATAGCACTGTTTCAATATCACTAAAAATTGAACAGTTTAATAGTATGACATCCGTTCTCGGAACTACTTTGAAAATATAAAAAAAAAAATGAAATATTTGCAAAATATTATTAAACAATAGTTTACACATTTATCAGTATTTCTTTCCCGGATATAAATAATGATTATTTTTTCTAAATTACAGTAAAACTACAGCGGAAAAGTTACGCAAGAGCGAAATCAATTCGTTTATTGAGTTCCTTATTGAATCGAAGAGCAAATTGTTCATTGCCACGAGCGCGTGTATCACGCACGTTTGGTAACGTTGTTTCCGTCAAACGATGATCATACTCATCATGACGAGATTGCATCTTCCAATCATTTTGCCATGAATTGGGTGACTTAAGCAGAATATTTTTTCCCATTAATTCACTTAATAATTCCACTATAATGTTATAATGTTCTTTCACTGATTAATGTCAGAACACGATAACTTATAGCAGTATCAAAAAAAAAAAAAAACACTCCA